GTGACCAATAGAAATTTTGCCAGTTTTATTTAGTAAACTGACATATCGTTCACATGTGCGCAAAGGAATGCACAATCAATTAGAAATTTCCTTTGCATTACGCACTTTTTGGTCCCAAAGTGACTTAACAGAATTTTTTTGTATTTCTAAAGAGTTTGGCATAGTTTCGGAAAGGAAATCAAAATAAAAACAAATAACAAACCTTATTTTTAACTTACCTTTTTAATTCAGGTTCCAATGTCCGATTTGAGCATATAAACAAATGCCTAAATTCGAAAAATGGTGAAACCGCAGCCAAAAATAGATGCGGTCTTCCACCACCATTCTTTTCACCAGAGACTGTATATTAGAAATAAACTCAAATAGTACAATAAATTAATATTAATAAAATTGTTCTTTTAATTCAGCAAATTCTCCAAATATTTAATATTATTTTAGCAAATCTGTTTAATCTAAAAGTTTGGTTTGTTAGAATAATAATACATTAATCTAATCAAATGAAAGTTAAAAAATTATTCTTTTGTAATGATTAAATTATTATTTCAATTAAATTGATAAGAAAATCATTTGATTTGAATAAAATACATTATTTCAAATAAATAATAAAGAAATTGTTCAATTAAAATAATAAAGAATAATAATATCATTTTTAAGGAACAATAAATGTATTATTCCTTAGAAGTGATAAAAATATTATTTTTTTGAAATGATAATAATACTGAAAAACAGATTACTGATACTAATAGTAAAGTTGATATTATTTCTTAAGAATAATAAAAAATTGTTTTTTTAGCATGATAATACTATTATTTCTTAAAAATGATAAAAATTATTTTTTTAAAATAATAATATTATTATTTCTTAAAAATGATAAAAAAATTATTCCTTTAGAATAATAAAAATATTATTTTTTAAAAATTATTTCTTTAGAATGATAATAATAATATTTCTTAAAAATAATAAAAATAATTATTTTAACTGAACAATTTATGTATTTTATTTGATTAGAATGATACAATCATTTCAATTAAATGATTTTTTGATTATCATTCAATTAAAATAATATAATCATTTCAATTAAATAATTTTTTAGTTATTATTCTTTAGAATAATATAATCATTCCAATCAGATATCAATTAACTATAAATAAGAGAGATTAAATTTTTGGCTAATTCTTAATGTATACTAATTGACAAGATTGATTTTTGATAATTTGCCAATTTTAGGTTAATTTTTTGCATGTCTGATTTTTTGATTTTGATTAGTAATAAAATAAATGTATAATTTAAAATTTTAATTATATTAAAAAATTATTTAAATGTTATATCTAAAGTTGTTACTTTATTAATAAAATTATTTATATATAATATATAAGCTTAAATTACATTATAAAAGACAATTATTAAAAAATTAAAATAACAGATTTTTTTCTAAAAATTTTCAAAAAATTTATTCTTAAAATAAAAACTCATTATAATAAAGAAAAATAAATTAACTTTTTATATAAAAATAATATATTATTCTTAAAATAAATAACATATTTTGATATATTATTGCTTATTTTAGGTATTTTAATATATGGGAGGGTTTCTAGGAAAATCAGGTTTCAAGAAATTTTTGACTAAAATTAAGAGCTTAATACATTTTAATCTAATAACATCAAAAACTAAAATGCAATAAAAATCTCAATTTTGCTAAAAAATTCCCAGAACCTGATTTTCCTAGCAATCAACCCATATTACATAAACTTTAATTTCAAAAATCTTATAATTTAATATCTCAAAATCTGTGATAATTAATTGTATTAATTATCAATTTATTACATAAAATCAAATAAATTTTAATTAAACTAAATATTTATTTTTGTATAAATTTCACAAATTTAGAAGAAAAAATTATAAATATAAGATCAAAAATACTAATAAATATAAATAAATTTTGTATTATATTATTATACAAAATATAAATTATTATTTATATAAAAAAAAAAAATAAATACAATAAGATAGTAGAATATTTTAATTTCAATTATAATATAGTAAAATATTAAATAGTAGTAAGTTGAAATTAGATAATTAAAATAAAAGAAAAAAATAAGTAATTTAATTCTAAATAAAGAATCTTTTATTTAAAAACTGAGAAGAAACTTTATGACTAGATTATAAAATATAGAAAGTAAGGTTTTTATTATAATTTATATAATAATATAAAATAGAATACTAAAATTTTAAAAGAATTAGATATAATAATAAATATTATTAAATTTTTGCTATATAATTATAAATTATTTTTAATTTCTATTATTTTATAATTATTACTTTTTTTGTACCTTAATGATGTAATACTATTATAATTTTATTAAAATAATTTTATAGTTATAAAGCATTTAAAAAATACAATAAGAAAATTAAACAAAAATTATAACTACTTTTTTTGATTCTATTTCAAGTTTATTTAAGTTGACTAATCATTATTAATAGCTAATCTTTTAATAAGAAATACAAACAAAAAATATTCAATACTACATCATCTTTTTTAGTCTATTAATTCCTTTGAATTAAAATAAAATAAAGTATAATTATTGCTAAAACTTTACATTTATTTTATTTGCACTTTCTAATTAAAACAAAAACCCTTCAATACTAAACTAAAATTAATTTTTAAAAAAAAGAAAGTTAAAAAATGATAAATAACTCTTTAGCTAAAATGTTAATTTTAATTTACAGTTACTATCTAATACAAGTAAATTTAAATTATTAAGTTTTAAGAGAACTCTTTTTAGATTATTATTTTCATATTAAGATGTCTGTTTAATTTAAATTACAACAATATTTATTTTTTTTTCTAGTTTAAATAAATCAATTAAATAATATTAATTAATATAAATAACATAATATGGGAGGGTTTCTAGGAAAATCAGGTTTTGAGAAATTTTTGACTAAAATTAAGAGCTTAATACATTTTAATCTAATAACATCAAAAACTAAAATGCAATAAAAATCTCAATTTTGCTAAAAAATTCCCAGAACCTGATTTTCCTAGCAATCAACCCATATAATATGTAATACAAGAAGAATAGTGATCAATGAAAATAAAGCATTTGATATTCCGTTAAATTACTTAATTTAGATGTTCATTGTACATGTATCTGCGATAAGGTTCAATAAATTCAAATTTCTATTTTAAAAACCATATTTTTCTTTAAACAATGTCAGTCACTCTTCGCGAACTCAAGATAAAGACTGGAGTCGTTAAACGGTTTGTCTTTGTTCATCGAAAAATTTAACAATTTTTGAGTTTCCTTATTAACAAATGATATTTTAATTAAATCAAAAAGTCTCTTTAAAGAAGAAAAATCTTATCGTCAAGAAGTCGAAAAACAACAAAAACGAATTGATAAATTAACGGAAGATGGAACTGATAAACATACTATAGCTAAACAGGTTTACGATATTATAATTTTATTTTTTATCGAAGAAATAAAAAGTTTATTAAGTCTTTTCTGTAAAATAGAAAGAAGTATTGCAAGAATCATTAAATATGATTCCAGATTGCCAGAATCGTCTTAAAGAAGCACATAAAGAATTACAAAAATTACTTGTAAGATTAAATCTTTTAATTTTTAATTTTATCATAACTTTTTATATAATTGTTAATTATTTAGGAAAATAAGGACGCATCCTGGAATGGAACAGAAGAATTAAAACAGGCAGAAGAAATCTTTGAAGAAGTTAACAAAGAAATAGAAAATGAATAAAAGTAATTGATTATGATTGATCATTATGTGATGCAAATAAATTTTCCAGAACAAAGTTTGAAAAACAATCATTTTTGAGTATGTGTGCACAGTGACTCGAATCTGGCCGGAATTAACATAATTTATATTAAAGACACGTGATTAATAGATTACCTATAATTATGTGGAATTCCTTCCAGTTGGGTTTACCGCCCTCAAAGGCGATTGTTTTTTTAATAACAAACCGTTTGTCGCAATAGTGTGTTCTGTGGGTACCGACTATTGATAATATAGTCGGTTCATCTGTGGTCGTCAGGAAAGTAAATTTCATTCGAAACAGACGAAACGTAACATTTGGATAAAAATAACAATAGAAACCATTATCACAACACAGTCAGTAACATGGTTTTTTTTTCAGTTGGCTTAATCCACAGAGGGATCACAGTAGTTAGATAGGGCCTGAACCTAGCAAAGTAGAAGGTCCCGGTCATGTTAGTAGAAGTACACGAATTATTTGCGTCAACCGTCCTTATCCGCCCCTTTGTATTAAGGAGCAGCACCATTTGTTTTGATCGTTCTTTCGACACGAATCAGTAATATTCGATACTGCTTAAAACTTGTCAATTATGACATGTCATGAATATTGCATAACAGAATATAATGTTTAAACTTCTATAAATAAATAATATATCTTAATAAAATGCCTTGCATCTATATATATTGTAAAACAAAAAATATATATTTTTTTTTATTCTGTATTCAGTAGATATGAGAGTCATTTGGTTTACTTAATTAGCTCGGTAAGGTTATGGAGAGTAAGTTTAAAATTCATTCTCTATTTATAATTTTCTCAATATTCAGATATTTTCCCTCATGAAAAAAGAAAGTGCAACCGAATAAAAAAAATAAATATCGTCTAGTATAACTTCACCGAAAAAAATAAAATTCTGTGTTCAAGTATAGATTTATGAACAAAGGGGAATTAAAAAAAAAAAACTAAGATATTGAAATTTTTATTCCTTCATTTTGTTTTAATTTTTACAAAATCCAATGATTCTTTATTACTTTACATTTATCAAAAGATCTATATCAAAATGTCAAATTTTATATTAAAATAATGTCTATGTATAATTAATCCCACTATGCCCCTAATTATTATTATTTAACCGAAGTAAAATTTTTCTTTAGGAAATTTAGCTCGATTTATTATTAATGTTCTTACAGGTATATAACTTAACGACGATAATAATGACGTTTAAAATGGAAATGTAATTGTAAAACACCACGATCGAAACTTGATTTAAAGCCTTTCTTATGAGAATATTCCCATTCACGATTAACAATACGAAATGCAATATCCTGAATAAGGAAAAAAAAATGGATTTATTTGCGTATTAGATATAAAAGTTAATAAATAAATAAATAAAATAAATATATATATTCATACTTCATAAGGAGGCCCAGCTAGGAATCTGATCAAGACGGTATCATTGTTTCCAGGTTCTCTTTCAATTTTATATGTTGGAGCTTTGGACTTATCAATCAGATCAGGATAAAATATATTGAATTTGTATCCTTGAACAACCTTTGGAGGTGGATTATCACTATCATAATGAGTCTGATTATATTTATTCCATTCATATCCTGTATGAACACGATTAAAATATCGAGGTTTCCTTGGACGATATTTGTCTTGCCATAAATATGTCTAATGTCACAAAGTAAATAATTAATAATTGATTTAGGTTGATATTTAAATAAAATTGATAAGTACCGTTTTGGCTAATTCTTCCTCAATATTAAATATAGCTTCATCTTCGTCTAAATCTTTGGCAGCCTCTCGTTCATATAATACTTTAGAAACCTATATCAAATCACATCAAAATAATTTTAACAAACATATATTAAAAATATATATATATATATCTCGAATTACACTTACTACAGAATCTTCCTCCTCTTCTATAGTAGGTTTCTTTTGTTGAATTTTCATTGGAATAAATTGGTTACGAAGAACCTCTTTACGTTTTTCTCTCTTTATATAAAATAATATTGGTTAAAAGTTGATAAAATATTACGCAATCCTCTTTTGTAAAAAAAAATTGACTTACCAATGCTTTCATGTCTTCCTCAAGATCAAAAATGTCATATTGTTTGTCTTCTCTTGGTAATTTGTCAAAAGGTTTTGGACTCATCGACACATCATATTCCTCGATCAAAGAATCGTCTTCTTCCTCTAATACTGCTTCATCAAGAGGTTCATGTCGTCCTTCTGCCTTAACATGCAAATTATGTGATGCAAGTGCTGTCTCTAATTCTTCCTGCACTTTGATAGCTTCTTGTCTCTGTTTTCTCCTTAATTGTTCCAATCTCTTGTGTAATACAATTTCATGCATTGCCTTTAATTTAGCCTTTGCTTTCCAAACGGTTATAGTTTTCAATTGTTGTTCCCAATATTCAACTTCCACAGCTTCTTGCCCAGATAACTTTTGTTGAATCTGAGCTTGCAATTTGTTTAATTGTTCATAAGTTTTACCAGCCAACAACTTATTGATGTCATCTTTGACAACAGCCGTAACATTACTAGTAAGATTTTTTTCTTCCGCTTGAAGCTCGGAAAGTTTATCATCACATACCACGATCATTGCCTACATTATAGATATACACACATTATTAATAAAGTTTATTAAATGTTATTTTGTAGTAATAATAATGCTTACTCTCCAGAAATCAAGATTATTTGGATTTTTTTCAAGACTTAAATATCTCTGAATATCTTGATGTAATTCTTCAACCTCTTGCAAAGTCAAATTCTCAAAAATAGTGTAGGGTTCATCCACATCTATTTCCAAAGCTTCATCCACATCTTCATTCTCATCGGCCAAACGCAAATTGATGGCAAGAATATCTATTGGCTTTGCTCTATTTTCCTTGATACGAATTTCTGCACGGCGTTTTGCTTGTTCAAGATGGAACTAGCCAATGATAAGAGGAGGTAAACTTAGGGTTTATTTAAATTATTTGATAAATGTTAGACAATTAAATTAAATGTTTACTTCATCTTCTTTAGATGCCCAATCACCCATAGATGCAAATTCGGCCTCCCGTTGCATCCGTGCCTGCAAATTTAAAAATAAATCAAATTCAATGACAATATGTTAATCAATAAAACAAGAATTCAAGAATAATTACAAGCTCCTCTTCTCTCAATTGCTGTTCTACTTCACGTTCTACTCTCCTCTTTTTCAATTTTTCAAGTTCGAGCTATAAATAGTTAAAAAAAAATCAGTTAACAAACTAATTGTAAGCATGAATTCATGGTAAAAAAAAAATAAAAAGATACCAACCTGCGTTTCTTCACGACGTTGTTTCTCTTGACGAAATATCTCTTCAGGAGTTAAGCCTGATTTCTTTTCGCGATCCTTCTTCTTAGTCCATACGAACTTTTCTCCTAAGTTAGCATCATTAAATGGATTATCGTCATTTGAGTAAATCGACAAATCTATATATGACATTTTATCTGAATTATCTAATTTATCTGATTTATGTTCCTATAAAAGTTTTTAAAAAAAATTGTTTATTATTTAATATGAAGCAATATAAATTTATATATATGTGTGCTTTGCTATTAAACCCGCCTTATAACGGATCATATTTTTTTTTTTTTTTTTTGATTTTAATAACGAAAGACCCAAATATATACTTTTTTATGTTTCTTCGATTCTTTTTTAGCTTTCTTTTTGTGTTTTCTTTCCACTTGCTTCTCTTCGTCAGAATGTCTACTATGACGCTTCCTGCCTTCACCGTCTGATGAGTGTCTACTGTGATATGAAGCATGGTACGAAGACATAATGATTTTATGAAACTGAAAAGGTTGTTAAAACCACGACTAGCAAAACGGTTTTTTTTTTTGGACGTGCTAACATAACGTAATATTGCAGTTCCATGTCAATCAGCTGAACAATTTTAATGATTCTTAGGCCGATCTTTAGATCGATTTTGACATAATGTAGCGAAGATTTTTGAACTATTCTTTCAGTTCAATTTTCTTTCAACTCGATAATTTAGCATTAAAAAAAAAAATTTTATTTAACGAAATGAAAAAAAAAAAAATATTTTGACATCTTGGGGTAAAAACTAAATAAGCGTCAAAACATGAAATAAAACAGGAGGAAAATCGAAATAACAACTTTTAAAATAAACCCACAACCGAACCATTGAAATATCTATTTGATTCTCCGTCATGTTTGAAATAATAGCTAAAGTTCGAATTAAAATGCGTTTACCGATTCTTTCGCTGATCAAGTAAAGAATGGTAAAGTACTTAATTATAAATGATATTGTAAAAAATCAAGCCCTTCTGGTTTAAGTAAATAACATAATTATTTTTCTTTTTTGGAAATATATAACTTTATGCCTTTACTTTTAGATTTCTTTCGCGTCGAATTATCTGTATGGAATGTAGATATTTAAATTTTTTAAATTCGATTAATTAAATTCTTCTATTTGATAAATGTATTAAATTAAGTTACTATTTTCTAATTAAAACCATACCAGGTATGGAAAAACCATACTCCATATACCATACAACACCTCTTATCTCAATTTTTGGTGTTGATTAATTGACCACGTGACGGACAGATCCGGTTCAACCTTTCCAAAACCGATCGTAAAAACATCCTTGGACACTAATCAACGTACTAAAAAAGGGGGGAATTTCCGAATCTTTCAATAACTTATTCTTTCCACTATGTCTGAAGTATTTCTTCAAGAACAAAGCTATGGAAAAGATCGAATTCGACTAGTTAAGGTTATCCGTACAGGAAAATTCCAAGAAATTGTGGAACTCACGGTAATAAAATGTCACAATGGGTATAATAAGTTTAATTCCGACGAATACTTTCAGTCGAATTGCAATTGCAAAAAAATTTATGATTGCTATTTCTCGCGAGTCGCGACTCAGTCGTGACCGGGTAAACACTATTTAGAGGATATTATAACTACCTTTTCCATTCTTTCAAAAAAAGGTACGCGTACTTTTAGAAGGCGACTTTACCGCCGCTTACACAAAAGCCGATAATTCACTTGTTATCGCGACGGATACAATGAAAAACACGGTCTATATACTTGCCAAACAATCATCAAACGTTCAACACATTGAAGTTTTTGCCACAGAAATTGGACAACACTTTATTTCGACTTATTCTCACGTTTCCAAAGTCAATGTTTGGGTAACCAAACACAAATGGACAAGAATGCTAGTTAATGGAAATTTACACGACCATTCATTCATTAGGGATGGAGAAGATGTTAGAAACACTAAAGTAATTATGATCAAGAAAGCTGAATCAAAAAATACGGCGGTTAAAATTGAGTCAGGTCTTAAAGATTTGTTGGTATTGAAGACTACCGGATCGGCATTCTATGGATTCTTGAGAGACAAATGTGAATAATAATAATTTGTGGTTGACAACGTTCAAATATACAAATTCTTAGATAATTTTCTTCCCCATATACAGATACGACCCTTACGGAAACCGACGATCGTATTCTTTCGACAAGTATAGATGCAACTTGGACTTTCAATACTTCTAATGTATCTTCAATTTCACAAATCCCTTATGACGATATTTTTAATTCAATTAGACAAATTACTTTAGATACTTTTGCTACAGATAATAGTGCATCAGTGCAAGCCACTTTATATCTTATGGCTAAAATTGTTTTAGAAAAATTTCATGAGATTAATTCCATCCATTATGAGCTTCCAAATAAGCATTATTTTGCTTATGATCTTGATAGATTTGGATTAAAAAATTCAGGAAAAGAATGTGATGTTTATTATCCTATAAGTGATCCAGCAGGTGAATATATTTATTTTTTTGTTCTTCCTTTACTTTCTGATTTATTTTGATTTATTAACTCCTTTTTAATAAAAGGGTTGATAACTGCAACTGTTGCAAGAGCCGAACCAAAGTAAATTTTATTGAAATTATATATATCAACCTAGATCTCGTATTCTAATATCTTTTTCTTTATAGACTTCGTGAGTCTTACATCCATACCGAAAACGGTGATCAAATAAAGGCAAAATTATAAAAGCAAATCGAGGAATTAAGAGAAAACTTAAGCAATTGTGAAAAATTATAATTTATTGCAGATGAAGAATTTTAATACTATTAATGAAATCATATTTGTGTATTATTATAACTATTATATTACTTTTTTTTTAATTTGCTTCTTAACTGGCAAGTTTTAGTCGTACTTTGTAGATATTGTTCTGTACTTTTGAAAAAGAAAAACAACTTACGAGACCATTACACAAATGCTAAATTTCTTATTTTTAATTGATATTACGTATAATGTAGTAAATATATATTTGATGATTTAATAAAGTGATCACGTCATTATTTTCATATTAAAAGTGTGAAGTTCATTATTTAAATTTTCATATAAATTATACGAAACATTGATAAATGAATCTTAGATAACCCTATTTTATTAATAAATTAAACTCTATTAAAAGAAATTAAATTAGTCTATTGTATTATAAATAATTCTATATATAAAAATTTCTATCCAAGTGTAAATTCTAAATTTAAAAAATTCTAAAATCTAACTTTACCTTCTTACCTTTAAACCATAAAAGCATAAGGAAAGAAATATTTATATTGATCTTGCCATTTATATTGAAATGCTTCATTCATAAATTCTTTAACTTCCTCTCGTTTCTCTTTAACCCAATTATCTCTCTGTTGTTCATTTTCAAAAGCATAATATTTTGATTGAATTGATTGCAAATCATCGGCCCAATAAAGTCTTTCATCTCCTAAATTAAATACATGCCTTTCGTGATATGGCATACATTCTAACAAATCTTTTGGCAAAGAATTTTGGACTTTTCTTGTATTTGGAAAAATTGTAACAAATGGGACACTGTTATAAAACGAATTATAATCGATCCCCAACCTCTTTTTTACAAAAAGTAAGAAAAATCGTAAAAAATATCCTTACTTGATGGTTTTCTTTTCAATGCATTCCTTACAACAAATCCTGCCAAATTCCCAATATCTACAAACGAATAACTCTTGCTTTTCAATCTTGGTTTTACAAATACTACATTTATCAGCCAGCATAGTAAACCAAATATATTCTTGTTCACTCATCGATTTTGGTGGTAGTAATGTAGGATAAGGTAAATAAGTATCAAATGAAAGTACTCTGGAACATGTCCAAATTTTTTGTATTGAAATGGTTTTTGACCATAAAACTTTACGATATGATCTGCATACGAGGGTTAATGTATAAAGATCTTTTACATATAATTGACTACAGATTTCTAAAAAAATCTCTGATGGAATTGTTTCCATCACAACTAGTTAAACAAACAAAAAAAAAAGAGAGAATAAACGAAAACGAGAAAAATGATTAATTGAAACTTGATTTTTAATTCAACGTAACGTTTATATCATTGTGTCACAACTTTTTGGTCGGGGTCCATGGATCCCAAGCACCGTAATTATGCCTAATACGATTAGATCAATTGAAATTGCTTGCAGATATAAATGCTGTTTTGGTGCACATAAAATTTTAAGTATCACATGAGTAGGGTGTCCAGATGGTAAATCTCAAAATATGTATGTGCAAATAAATCAAACATGTGTTAATATGTGTGGATAAAAATAATTCGTAAAAAAAAAAAAAAAAATTATTTTAATTCTACGATCTTTTTCGACATTAACTTTCAATTTCAATTTCATTTCAGTCAACCCTCTCTACAATCACACCCCTAATGATGCGATTGTATAGAGGTGTGCTTATACAAAAAATGACATGTAATATACCTCCGATCAACTTAATGTAATTATACTAATATTTCTCATCTTTTTAGATCCCTTTCAGTTCTAGATTCTAGACACTTATTTCATTTTTTCTTTCATTTCTTCTTTCGTTCCTTTAATATTTCTAAATTTCTAATATTCTCATTTTTTTTCCAGGATAAGCTTAGACCGAATCGAGTAGGACCATCTATCTTTGTAAAAATTTAAAATTTTTTTAATAAAGTTTAAAATAAAGTAGTTTTACATGATTTATTATAATAATTGAATGTTATTGACTGATTTGTCACGCAATAATGTGACTATATACAGTGGCGCTCAAAAGTATTGCATCACCTGAATACAAATTTTAAAATGGCATTTTCTTGTGATTAAGAAGCGCTATGTCATATACAGTAAATTAGACTTATCAAAACAAAGTCTATTCAATAGTATGAAAATCGTTGTATAGTAATGAGATAAATATTTAAAAAAATATTTATTTTAAATCAATTGGCGATCCTTTTCTTTTGATTGTTTTTTATTAAATTTTTTATGTATATAAAAATCAATCCAATTATATTAAAACTTTGGTAAATAATTATTTACCATTTTATATAGCCAGCTTTAATTACACCATTTATACAAGTTGGCATAGTATCAACCAACTTTTTACATACATTGGATCCCAATTCAACCCAAATTTTTTGAAGGTATTCTAAGCTGCCTCAGATGATAATCCATTTCATTTTAAAGGTATTCTATATAGGGGATTGTGCTGGCCAATCAAGAACTTTAGCCCTATTATCTTTAAACCATTGCTTTGTAAAATGTGCATTGTATTTAAGATCATTATCCTATTGAAAAATAATAATATCCTTATCTATTTCATATCACGTAATGGTTTCTAATAGGTTTTTCTTTAAAATTTAATAATATAAATTATCATCATAAATTCAGCATATATTATCAACCCATTCAGATGTAAAACATCCTTATATCATAATATCCTATTTAAATTTAATTGTAAATTTAACATAATTGATCTCTTAATAATTCTTCTAACTTTTTTCCAAATAATACTCTTTATTATTTGATCTATAAATCATAAATTTTGACTCATCTAACTAAAACTACCTTATTTCAATTTTTAACTGTCTATAATTTGTATCTTTTTGCAAATTTTATTCTTATGATTCTATGTGTTTTTGAAGATATAGTTTTTTTGCATTTAACTTTTATATTCATTCTATTTTCATCAGTGTTGTTAATTGGACAATAAAATAATTTGACAATTGGATCAATTGTACTAATACCAATTAATTCATTTAAATAATTAGACAATTGGACTTAATCCAATTCTAACTACTATTATTAATTAATAAAATTAGTTTATTATATTATTTTATTTATTAAATATTATTAAAAAATAAGATATATATATAAAAAATTTATTATTAATATAAAAATTAAATTTTTATTTATTAATTTTCATCTATAATAAAATTTTCAAAATAATTTGGCAATTCTAAATTTTCAATAAAAATATCACTCAATTTCCATTTAACTTGTAAGTCAATAGCAGGATGCTGTATTTATTCAATATTATCAACTGAAATATTATATACAAGTGGCGATCAAAATTATCTGGCCACTTTTCAAATTGAAAAAATGTCATATGTTAAATATAATAAAAATTAAATTTTATGATAAATGTTTTTATTTATGACTTAGTTTATTAATTTATAAAAAAATTAATAATGAATTCTATTTCTATTTGTAAAAATAACCGTTTTAATTCTTTGAGGCATACTATTAATTAATTTTTTAAAATATTCAAGAGGAATATTGTTCTATGCATCTTTGACATACTTTCTTAGAATTTTAATATTAGATGGTGGTGGAGTACATCGACAACTATCATTTTCATCTCTGCCTAAAGGTTTTCGATCAGGTTAAAATTAGGACTTTGGGCTGGCCAATCAAGCATCAAGTAATTGTATGACTTGAGTGTCCGCAATTATAACTATACACAATTGCACCACGTGATTTTAGAGTAAGTGGCTTCATTTTTTTAGAAGGTTATAGAAAAAATGAAGTTAGGGATATGTTTATCAAAACTATACATACAAAATCACATGTTATTTACATTACATTAATGCATAATAATCTGCATAATTTCAGCAAAACAAACGGCTGGATAATTTTGATCGCTGCCTGTATATCAATAGTATCCATTATTTTATCCTCTTGATCTTGTAATTCATCTTTAATCATTTCTAACCAATTTAATACCATATTTTTCCAATCATTAATTGAAGTCAATAATTGTGTATATATATTATTAAAATCTTCATTATTATTTACTTTATCATCACTATTTATATTTTCATTATTAGAAAGAATAAAAGTTTAATCATTTTTAATATTAAATTCTATATTATTTGATTCAGAAATAATAGAAAGATGACTTATAGTTATTTTATATTTTTTGCATGAAAATCTAATTCTTGAAGTTGTTATTGTTTTGCATATTAGCACAAATTTGTATTAGACCCAATACTTTTTCTGTCTAAATATTAAAAAAATAAATATAATATAAATAATATATCTTTAAACGATTTCTTCTTTTAGAATGATACTATCCCATTATTGAAAACATTCTTTCTAATAATGCTGTTGATACAGTAATTGAAAAATCTATTAAATAACTCTATATAATTCTTTTAAATAACCTTTTATAAAATTCCAATAATCTAAAATATTATTTTTAAATTGTTTAGAAATAGATTCAGTATAAGGATATTTTTTTGATCAATATTCTTCAAATTCAGCTAATAAAATTTTTGGTTCTTTCTGAAACCATGTACAATAATAATATAAAATCCATTTTGTTAAATGTGAAAATGATAAATTTGAAATTGTAAGGTTGAACTTTGAGTTATGATAAAATTAATAAGAATGCTAATAATAAAAGGAATTGCTCCTAATCTTTTCATCATCTTTCAAGTCTTGTAATAAGATTATTAGCTAATTTCTAATCATTAAATGTTTTTAACATCATAATTATATTACCAAATCTATGAAAAACTTTATGTAATCGTAAATTATGATGTTAAATATTATTAAATATAACACAATATGAAACTAAAAAAATTTCAATTTGTTTAACTTGAATTTACCAATCATTATCAAAAATACAATTCAAAATTTTAGTAGGAAAATCATAAGTATCAGATATAACATTTTCATCAATTTTTGTAACAAAATTCTAAAAATAAATTAAAATAAATAAATTAATAAATAATTTATATAATAGAAATAAATTTATATAATATTAAATTATACTTATATATAAAGTTACTTTTATTTTTAATAAACTAGCAAAATAATAATAATGTGAATTTCAATGGGTATTTGCTAGAATTATTAATGTAATATACTTATTATAAATAGCTGATTGTTCATTTTGAAGGTATCTAAGCCATACTTTCGATCGATTAAAATAAGTGATTAAACTAATAATTTGTTTAGCTGTATCACTTAAACTTGATGATTCTTTAAAAATATCACCAATGCACAAATTTATTTAATGTGCAAAACATGGTAAAAAAAATTTATTGTGATATTAAAGATATAATTTTTTTCTAAAATTAAATATAATAAAATACAAAATAAGTATTTAATATTTATTAAATAAAATATTAATTTATTAATAATTTAAAATACTTTACAACAGCATTTTCTAAAGCTGAATCAGTGATTAATCCATTGATTTTAATTTATTTTTGTTCAAGTTATTCAAAAGATCTTTTTATTTTAACTATTACAATATCACCTGTACTTCTTTTCTCATTAATATCTTCAACTTTCCAAATAATTATATCACCTTTTAAAGTAAATAGAACAGATCCTAATAAATTGTGACATATTATATTCTTCTAACTATCAAAAGCTAGCATAATACTAAGATTATCATTAATAGCATTATTGAAAATATTTTCTGAAATTTTATCAGCAGCTTTTTTAAGAATCTGACTACTAAGTTAATTTCGACTTGGTAAAGGTAATATTAAATTAATCCATTTGAAAAGTTCTTTAACTGCTAAATTTCAATCCAGCAAAAGGAAAACCTATATGTAACAGTAACATTTAATAATAAATTTTCAAATAATTTGATTTGTTCAGGTCTTAACTCATGATAAATATAATTATCAAATGGTCTATAACTTTGAAAAGAAGAAACATCAGAAATGCTACTAAAACTATTTAATACATTGCTTTATAGAAAAAGTTATTCAAATTAGATAGCAGTATATAAGAAGTTGAGTAATCATCCTTTTTAGCTTTATCTTCATTAACATAATTAATTTTATTTATTTGTTATTGATTTGATTTTTTTGATCTATGTTTTTTTGCTTTTTGAAGTATGGAAAGGGTTTCTTCATGAGTATATTTTTCAGTCTAATAAGGATAGTTTTTTATATGTTTTGTACAGACTCATTTAGTATTAGTAAATTTTTGCTTAATAGCTTCTTCTTGACCTAAAATCT